GGACGGAAGTGGCACTGTCACCTACGAAGATTGGGAACCGGAGAGTTGGCAACGCCCAGTCACCGGCATTTGAAGTTGAGCCCGAGACCTGGAAGCCCAGTTCGTAGGCACCTCCTGGGGGAGAGGCGGTCATCAGAGCTGCCCGGTCCAGGCCTGGGGGGAACTTTCTAGAATCAGCTGCTTTCTCCATGTTCTTCTGTCCAGACCGCTCTTCCTTTCGGCGTTTTTGGTTCACCTGTGGCGTCCCCCTGGCCAGTCCCTACAGGGAGACGGGCCGGCATGTGTCTCAGGTGCGCCCTGCTTCAAGGCCCTGCAGTGATTGCCACCGCAGGGGTCTTGGGCACGTGAGCAAGTGTGGGGGCGGCCAGGTCCTCGCAGAGATGCAGAAAGGAGCCCACGTTTCCTCCCCGCCCAAGAATCTGGACGTGCACATTGGCACTGAGAGACTAGCAGGCTCCTGTTTGCAGTGTTGGCCGATCAAGTGTCCGGCAGGCCCCTGAGCACCTGCCGCTGCCGCCCCACGTGTGTGCCCTTCCACGCCAGACCCCCCTGCACCGCCGTCCTCTCGGTGCCCCTCGTTGTTCACTGCAAAGTGCAGCCGCCCACGCCGCACCAACAGGCCCGGTAGCACAGAAGGACTGGCGGGGGAAGCCGGCCCCCCTCGCTGGCGCTGCGGCGATTCCACAAACAGGTGCACTCTGGGTCTCCTTCCATGTCTGTCTTTTTCCAACACCAGTCGGGCCTTTCCCCACGGACACCTTGTCCGCAATTCGCTCTGCTCCTCACCGTCGCATGGGCTCCGCTTCAGACCGTCGTATGAAGCTCTGGCTCTGAAACCACCTCATTACGTCCCCAAGCTCTGAGAGACCGCTGTGGAATTGCCCAGTCCAGGGACGCTGCTGAGGCATCCAGGTGTTTATTTTGTTTGTTTCTTTATATTAATTCTGACAACTTTGCATCAGGAGGCTTGATTTGCACAAGCAGGCTCCCGAGGCCGGGCCTGGCGGCTTCTTCCAGATGGCCCTCCTGGACTCACCCCGCACGCCGCGGGCCGCCCTGCCCCTGGCTGGCGCTGCCGACGGCTGACTGACCTTCCCCCAGGCGGCCCCTCATTGCCGGGTTGGCCTTCCCTGACGCCTGGTGCCGGAGAGCACGTCTTCACGGGGGAACTTTGGGTTTAAATATCAGAAAGCCAGACCTGAAGTGTCCAGGGACATTTGCTCTCTCCCGGAACAAGTGAGAACAGGGGCAGGGCCGGGGTTCTCTGCCACCCTCAGTGCATTCGTGACGTCCCTTGCAGTCACAGGCAAGACATCAGGGCAGGTCTCAGCGTCCTGCCTGACCATGACAGTGCCTGGGCACAGGAGACATGTGGCCTTCCCCCTGGGGACCCTCCCGGGAGCCCCCAGAAGCAGCCCTGTTGCCCAACTGACCAACCCTGGACCCTAAGTGAAGGGGTGGAGGCCAAGGTCACTACTTCCGTCACCGAGTCCCACCGGCGTTGGAGGCGGGACAGTGGCTGTGCAGGTGTGGCTGGTGCCGTGGATCATTTCACAGCCCACCTCTGACACACCGTGGCCATCCCCCCCCCCCCCCCCGTTCCAAGGTCCCTGGGGACCACCACTGGTCTGCACTCGCCGGGCGGGGCCTTCACTGGAGCAGGTGACGGAGCTTGTGACCTCACCAAGGAGGAGCAGAGGGGACTCTAGTGACAAGCAGGGCGAGTAGGCGGGGCCGAGCCACCAACCGGGCCACCAGCTCCCGCGTGTGGGTGGACTGGGTCTGCGGTGAAGAATGTGGCCTCTCTCACTGGATTCTGGTGTTTCAGCCCAGTGGGTGTGGTGCCCAGGTGGGCCTCGCCGGACCAGCCCGGGGACCGTCCGTTGCTGCAGGTCAGGGGACTCTCTGTGGGACGACGGAAGCCTGGCGCCCTTGGCAGTTTACCCCCAGCCCGCCCGGCCTCCCGCTCTCCACGGGTCAGTGCGGATCACTGCGCTTCCTCCGGTCTTCCAGTCCCTCCCACGGTGTCCTCTCGGTGTGCACCGTCCCCCGGCTCCGCTCACACTTTGCCTTTCGTGTGTTTGAGTTTTTGCTCTGAGGCAGCCCCCCCTCATGGCCAGTCCAAACTTACCCGCGTTTTCCTGATGGACAGGACCCCAGCTGTGTTGGGCACAGCACTGTGCCAGCTGGAACAACAGATCTCCGCCTCCCTGCAGCCACCCGTGGCCACGTGACAAAGTTCTGAGGACTTCTGGGGGCGTTTTTGCTGTTCTCTTTCCCTCCCTGGGACACAGAATCCAGAGGAGGAGTGACCAGCCTTGGAGACCCAGGCATGGGCGCCTCCAGGGCCGCACCCCAGCCTCCGCCTCCAGACGGAGCCCTGAAGAAACAGCAAGCCCCTCCCACGCTGGCCGCCCGCAGGCAGAGGCGGAGCCTCTGAGTCTCATTTCCCCTGGAGCCCCTTAGGTTTATCAACCTATTTCCCCCCCCCAAATATTCAGCTTTATTTGCTATGTGACTCATGTCAGTCCTTAATCTTGAGTAACCTCCTTCTGTGACTTTATTTTGATTTGGTTGAAGGACTTTATGTTTGTATTTTTAGCGAGAAACTCACTTGAGTTTACAGAATTTTCTTGGGTTTATTCCTAATGTATATGAGGTCTGTCCAGAAAAAGTCCAGCCATTATTACTATAATGAAAATGGTTTGGGTGACATTGATGTCACCCGGCAGCCAAGGACAGTGGACTGGAATGCACATGTGTGAACAATGACCACGTCACTGTACTAGTCAGTGGGGGCGGTAGACACTGTTGAGTGAGCCTGTGCGCTGTGTGGCCGTCATATTCAAAATGACTGAGCGAGTAGAGGAACGAATCTGTATCAAATTTTGCATGAAGCTCAAACGTGGAAACTATTCCAGTGATTCAGAGGCTGCAGCTCTGGGCAACTGCTGATTGGCAGCTTCATCACGACAACACTCACTCATGCATCACGTCTGGTGCAGAGTTTTTTAGAAAAACATCAAATCGCCCAGGTGACTCAGCCCCCCCCCCCCCCCCGCCCCGGCCACAGCCCAGATTTGCCACCCTGCGACTTCTGGCTTTTCCCAAAACCAAAATCATCTTTGAAAGGGGAGAGATTTCAGATCATCAATGAAATTCAGGAAAATATGATGGGGCAGCTGATGGCAATTGTGAGAACTGTGTGAGGTCCCAAGGTACCTACTTTGAAGGGGACTGAGATGTCATTGGCCTTTGTACAATGTGTCTTGCATCTTGTATCTTCTTAATAAATGTCCCTACTTTCCATAGCACATGGCTAGATACTTTCTGAACAGACCTCTTACAATGTTGTTTATATCTTATTTATAATTTACACATAATTTTATACAGCATTATTAATGTTATTTACATATTACATAATGTTATGTAAGGTTATTGACTTTCTAATTACTTTTTAGGTCATCTGATTTGTCTTTTAATTTCCTTTTAATTCAAACCTTAGAGATATCTTTTCACTTCCAAATGGCTATGTTTTACTTTGGATGTTTTTTTGCGGTCAATTTCTAGACATCCCGTCTTTTTTAAAAAGCCCAGGGACCGGAAGGCACAGCTGAGGAAGGTACAAGGTACGCCGTTTCCTAAGAGCTGCTCCACCGCCCTCCCCAGGGGCAGCCCCTTCAGTAACCCTGCCGCTGATGACTTAGCACTGGATTCCACAATTCCGAACAACAAGCTTCAGCTTCTGGAATTTTATTTTCTAATTCGGGCCTCATCTGTTGACTTAGCCTTAGGAGGATGAAGGTTCATCATCTTCCACCATCTTCCTCCCCTCCCCCTCCCCTCCCCTCCCGCTAATCAACTCTGGCTGTAATTGTGCCTGGGTCAGGTTGCCGGGACATCTGGAGTCCATTGTTACGGCCATGAAAAAGAAACACCCAGCTCAGCCCGGTAATATTCTGGGATTACTTCTGACTTCCTGAACACCATTTCTGTTCCCCGGAGTTGAAATCTGTCCTGTTTTGTTGCGGCCGGCGAGCCGCAGAGCTTTTACAGGACTGAGCTCTGGGGAAAGCTGGATCGAGGCCCGAAAAGCTGTGCACCAGGCCCGAGCCCCATCCCCGGCGCCGCACCGTGGCCGGCAGAGTTGGAGTGGGAGGGCGGTAGGGTGAGCCAGGCTGGAACTTCAGAGGAACCTGATAAAAGATCAGTTTCTGCTTCTGCTCTGGTGTCCTGTCTCAACAAAGGGTGTGTGTTCTTGGGTAAGGTGAGCCCACAGGACATCTGAGTGGGTTCCAGAGCCACCAGGAACGCAGGGAAGCTAGGAGAGGGGCGGGGCGGAGGGTGGGGGGAACAGGTTGCGGTGGCCGATCTGCACGGAGGGCAGGTTCGGGACGAGCACAATTCTGGAAGCAGGCCGGTTCTGCAGTCGGTTCTGAAGTAGGCTGTGGACATACAAGGATTCTGGAAGCAGGTTCCCGAGACTGGCTCTCGTGTGCAGGCGGCACCCACCGGAGAGACGCCAGGCCAGAGCCCGCGTCCGCAGCAGGGAGAAGAAAGCGGGCATTGTTTAAGAACTCGCCCAGCGCTCGCTCCTCCAAAACCTTAGTTAAAACCCCCATTGTGAACATTTTTGGACGAGCCTCTTGGAAGGTCCCTGTTGCCGTGGGACGGAGTAGAACTGCGTAGCCGTAACCGTGGAGTCTGCCCGGGAGCCGCGGGCCGCGGCTCGAGGAGAGGGTCGGAACTGGCACAGTTCGCGAGTTTCGCGTTATTTTTTTTCCTCTTCCCCAACCTTGGCGCACAAGAGCTGCCGCCCGCGCATGCGTAGTGCATGCCCCGTGGCTGCCGCTCGGCGTCGCGCCCTGCGGTTGCCACGGGTAACCGCATTCCCCTAGGACATCTCGGGTGGGTGGGCGGGGCCTGGGCGCCCGGAACCCCCTCCCTCGCTCTCTGGTTGGCCGAGGCTGCTTTCCGTCGGAGCCGCCGCAGTCGCCGACTGGGCAGAGGAAAGTTTCGCACGCTCGGCTCGGGGCGCCACGCCCCTCCCTCCTGCCGGTCTTGCCACCCGGGTCCAGAGGACAGTTCAGGACCCGGCGCGGCGCCCCGGGGGACCTGCACGGGCTTCGGCTTCCAGGCGGGCGCGCCCGAGCGGCGAGCTGCGATGATCCCCGAGGAGAAGCAAGACGGCCCGAGCGCCAGCGAGGAGAGCCCCCGGCTGCAGGCGTCCCGCAGCGTCTGCAAGGTGGGAGCGCCCGCGGGGCATGGGGGGCGCCGGGTGAAGGGGCCAGTGGGGGGGGGGGCGGAGCCGGCGAGCATGTGGGGCTGCTGATCCGGCGCTACAATGCAAGCCTCTCAGGCGGCCGCTTCCCACACCTGGCTCGCTCCAAGAGGGCAAGCTAGGCGTTCCACTGGGGAAACTGAGGCCGGTGGAGGGCCCTAACCCGCGATGTTTGCCTGTGCTGGCTCCTCTCATGTCTGTTCGCGGTCACGTGCGGGGAAGAGGCAGGAGGCCCATCCTGTGTGGCTCAGGAATGGGCGGGGGAGCGCAGTTCAGCTTACTGTTTTCTGGACGCTCTGGGCTCCCTTCTCTGGCAGGTGTTGGGCTCTGGTCTGTGACAGCCGGGGCCCTAGGGAATGTTCTTGGGCTACTCATTTCACTTCTCCTAAAACCTCCCTCTCCTCAGGGCTGTCCGGCTTTGCCCCGGGCACCCGGCTCTGTATTTGGTGATGCTGAGCTGCAGGCGGCTGAAGCCTCCCAGATACAGGAAACAGCTGGAGGATTTCACAGCTGGGGAGTTCATCCTTTCCTCACGCCCCACTGCTGCACACCCACCCCCTTGTGAGCGCCCTAACCCCAGGCACTGACTGTGGACTGTGGACCATTTCCAGGAGCACTGGAAAGCTCTGGGAGGTCCCGGGAGGGGTAGAGACCTACCAAGTCTGTGTCTGGGGAAGAGGGGGTGCTCTGGCTGACTGGATCTGTGGCCCAAAAGCGGAGCGTCCCCTGGGGTCAGCTCGAGGCTGCCCCCGTGTTCATGCTAAGAGCTGGGCTTCCACACCTCAGAGTCATCCAGTCTGGTGCCACCAAGTAGAAGTGGCACCTGCACCTGCGGTGACACTTTGCCCCCCTTCCTTCTTCCATGTCTGGCTGTATAGTGGGCCCCAGCTGCTCTGTTCAGCTTTTGTGTGCCCGGGGCCCAGGCCTCCCAGGAAAGACATGGGGGTTCAGTGGGACAGGGCTCCAGGTTCCTGGCCACGAGATGCTGACCAGACCCTTGGAGGGGCAGGCTCCTCCCTCCTTGCCCCCAAGAGATGCCAGGTGCTGCAGCAACCGTGGGAGAACGCCAGCCAGGGGTCCCACAGCATGGGTACTGGAGAGAGGAGGCCCGTCACCGGCCCTTTGTGAACTCATTTCCTTGCAGACCGACAGGGCAGGCCGGTAGTGGCCTTTGGAGACAGCATGAGTTGTTTTGGACTGAGTGTTTAGAAGGTCACTCACTCGGGATCCTCCGGAGGGCTCCGTGGACACTTCCAGGCTCTCTGTCCCACTGCCACCTGGGGAGGAGGCAGACACCTGTTTCCAGCCCTCTCTCTGGGACAACCCAGCAGTGGGAGCGTCCTGGCTTGTGTCCCAGCAAGCAGACCTCGGGCTGGGAGCAGGCAGGCAGGGTGTGGACCACAGCCCAGCCCAGCCCTGAGTGACACTGCAGACCCTCGCACCCCACTCCGTCACATGGCCCAATGGTTCTGGCCCCCTGGGAAGTCTAACCAACCCCCCCAACACCAGGCCAGAGGGAGAGGCTAACCCCACACTGGTCATGACTTCCAAAGTCAGGACGGGCCAGTCAGCTGTCCTCGTGAAAGCCACACCTGGGTCCAGCGCCCCTCTGGACCAGTATGGTCCAGTCTCCAAAGGCTCAAAAAGTGCCAAGAGCAGGTGTCCAGAGGGCACCCTCTGGCCCTGGTGTCCGCTGGGGACTTACCAGCACCAGATAGGGGCCCACTGAAGAGCAGCTCGGCCCAGTCAGCAGGGGCCCTGGGTGTGGGGCTGCCCAAGGTCTCCCAAGAACCACCAGTGCTGGCATAAGCCTCAGCCAGGGCGCCTTGGGGGTTGCTCAGCCAGCCTGAGTGGCCTGATCTGTGGTCGGTCTAGTCTGTAGGTGGTTCAGCCACCGTGTCCTGGCTCTGTCCCTCTAACAGTGTTTGGTGGGTGGAAGAGGTGGAGGGTGGGGGGTGCTGGGCTTCACCCTCCTGGGGCGTCCAGTTCTGTGTTCAGAGGAGGGCCCTCAGGTGGGTGGGCATCAGCAGGCAGAGCAAGGGCTCTGGGAGGAGAAGCTGGTCTACCAGGCCGGGGAGCCTCTCCCTGGAAACCCATGGAGGCAGGGGGAGCCTGGGGAGGGGGTGGGGCCCTTGCTGTTTGTTTCTGGCCTGTGTTGTAACTGCCTCCCTCTGGCCGCCGCCCACACCGTTTCCTCCCGGCCGGCCGCGGGGGGCCATGGGCCTCAGGCTTCCAGGCAGCCAGAGTGGCCAAGCCCGTCCTGTCAGGGCCCCAGCGGTGAGGGGCAAGGGGGTCACTTCACTCTTCCACACCCTTCCCACTTGAGCTGGATTTCCAGAGGGGGCAAATACCTATCGCCTGCCTCCTGCGCCCTCGCTGCTGGCAGACCCCTTCACCACGGGCCCTGGCTCGCCCAGGGCGGACAAACGTGAGCAGAGCTTTCGGGCATGTCCAGCAGCGCCCAGGCTTCAGTGGCGGCTCCCACACCTCTGCGCCCAGGCCATGCGGGAACGTCAGCGGCAAGTCCGCAGCGGAGCCTGCAGTTTGGGCATTTGCCAAAGAGTCCCCTCCGGTCATCGCCAGTGGGGACAGCGCCCAGCAACAGGGTCGGCATGGGCGGAGCATCACACGGAGGGGTGGGCCCAAGAGCCCGGGTTGCCTCCCCTGGCATCGCCCCAATGGTGTGCTGGAGCACGTGTGGTCAGGCTGGGCTGTGGGGGCTCCGCAGAGAAATTCCAGAGTGCAGACAGATGTGCGCGAGCAGTTGGCCACCGCCTGCCCGGGGCTCCCAGAGCCGACTGGGTGTCCAGGCTGGGACCCAGAGCCCCACCACGCTGCCGCGGGCCGCACGTAATCAGCCAAGCTTCTTCCTCGGGCCCCTGGCCCGGCTACGTCCCATTCCCCTGCGTCTGCCTCTCCTGCCCACTGCCCTTCTTCCTGGGGTCCCCCTCTGAGCCCAGGCTCCATGCCCATCTACCCCGTTCCCCGTGGGCAGGAGATCCCTGGCCCAGCCCCAGGGCCGCTGTGCAGTTGTGAGCTGCTGACAGGGGCAGCTGGCCCATGACCTGTGGCCTCTCTGCAGGGCAGTGACGCCCTGGCGCAGACCCAGCGCGGCCGCCTGCAGAGCTGCAGGGCCCGTATCCACCAGCAGATCAGCAAGGAGCTACGGATGAGGACAGGCGCCGAGAACCTCTACAGGTGAGCACTGGCCGCCCGGAGCCGGGCCCGTGCTGGGTGATGAGGGCAGCGCGGTGACCTAGGCAGCGCCTGCTCTCGTGGGCAGGTCTGCGCCAGGGACTCCTGAGCAGGTGACCATGGCTGGGACTCAGGGCAGGCCTTCTACCACGGTCTGGGGTGGCCTCGCCACTCAGCCAAGGCCTTCACTGCCCACTCAGGCCCCCAGTTTGGTGGGTCCCTGGCAGAGGCCAGCTCAGGACCAGCTGAGGTCCATGCTGGGCTGGAACAGACCTTGAGGGGCCTTTCCGCTGGTAGGCAGTGGGGAGCCTCTGAGATGCCTGTGGTGACTAGTGGTGGCTTCTCAGAAGGGACACTGTTTAGGCTGAGCTCTGGCTGGTGACCAGCATCCCACAATTGGGGACCTAGGGAAGGCCCCTCCCCCATAGAGCAGGAGAGCTGCACACATGTTCTGGTTTCACACCTGCCTGCCTACCCTGGTGCTGTGGGGGGTGGCCGGATGGTGGCAGCTCCAGGGTAGGGCTCTGCTGGGCCCAAGGGGCCCCTCCTCCTTAGCAGCCTGACCTCTCTGTCCACCCCACCCGTCCAGCCTTCCCAGTGACCCACCGCCCCTCTGCTGGGCACCGAGATGCAGGCACAGAGGGTCGGACCCCACCATCCAGGGAAATGGGCTTGGAGTGTTTGTGGAGGGTGGCTGTGTCCCGAAGTCATGGGTCAGAGTCCAGATGAGTGTGTGGGAGGAGGTGGGGCATCTCCTGGGCCCGGCCTGACTGCTGCCCCCTGGGGATGGGGCTCTGGAGCCCAGGCTGCGTGGGGCTGCGGCCGGCACATCACCACTGCCCGGCCTCCCCAGAGCCACCAGCAACGCCCAGGTCAGGGAGACAGTAGCCCTGGAGCTGAGCTGCGTCAACTCCAGCCTGCAGCTGCTGAAGGAGGAGCTGGAGGAGCTCAACTGCGACGTGGACACAGAGGGGCCTGGGAGGTATGTGCACAGGTGTGATCACACATGTGTGTGCGTGTGGAGGTGCCTGTGTGGCGTGCGTGGGTGTGCAAGGGCGCGTCTCAGGGAGAGGTGTGTCCTGTGCAGCAGGAATGGTGGGGCGGACTCCCTGGCCTCCAAGTCCAGCTGGGTCCAGCCTCAGAGCCTGGACCCGCTGCTTGTGGTTCTAGTGAAGGAATCACTGTCCCCATGATCCCCCTGGGGCTGAAGGAGACCAAGGAGCTGGACTGGTCTGCAGCCCTGACGGTGAGTGAGTGCAGGCCTGTGAGCTGGGGCCTGGGGGGCCTTCCTGACCCAGCCGCCTCATTGAGCAGGTGGGGAAACTGAGGCCCAGAGGGAGGGACGGTCTTACCTGCAGGCTCCCGGCCTCCCAGGCCGTGGGGTCTCTGACCCGGTGGTGGTTGGAGGAGAGCCCAGCTCGGACGGCTGCAGCAGAGCCGGCCATCCTGCCAGAGGCCCCAGGATGGCCGCGGGGCCCCCTGACTGGCGCTCCAAGGATCCCACTGGCGGGGCCGCCCTGCAGCCAGCCTGTGAAAACCCACTGGTCCCCTGGTCCTCATCTGGGGCTGGGCTGTCCCGGACCAGCTGGCCACTGCTCCGCAGGCCCAGGTCAAAGGTGCCTCAAGTCCCTGCCTGTCAGAGGGCACATGGTGCCTGCCCACGGGGGCTAATAAAAGACCCTGAGTCAAAACAGCACCGAGTCTCCGGGAGCACAGCTGCAGCAGTGGGGTCCCCCTGGCCGGAGGCAAGGCCCAGGCCAGCCCTTCCCAGGCACCTGGGCCTCTTCTCTCCCCCGGGGGCTCTTCCCCACGTCGGGCTGGGAGTTTCCTGCGAAGGCCAGCACTGCCCCCCCCCCCCCCACGCCAGGAACTGATCTCTCAGCACTTTGGAGAGGACGGCACCTCCTACGAGGCGGAAATCAGGGAGCTGGCGGACCTGCGGCAGGTGGGTAGGCCCCGCCCCACCCCACAGGAAGACCCGCCCAGTTCACAGAGAGGCTCAGCCAGGGCAGCAAAACGCTGTAGACCTTCAGTGTAGACGTTCACACGGCAGGGGTCGCCCCCTGGGGGCAGCTCCCGGGACAGTGGGGACACAGGCCCATTGGGGGCTCCCCAGCCAGCACCCCTGTGCGACGGCTCTGCGCAGGGCAGCACTGCGGCCCCGTTGGAGTGGCTGCTCCGTGCCTGTCCCCTCCCCACGGACCCTGCCTCCCCCTTCAAGCCCTGTCAGTCTTCCTGAGCCCTGCACTGCCGGCCCTGGAAGAGCCAGCGTGCCCGGTGGGACCCTGGCTGCCCCGCGGGGCTGCGGTGTCCAAGGAGGCTCCGGGGTGGTGTGCATGCGGCGGGCCGGGCCAGCAGGGCCCAGCGGCTCCTGCCCCGCAGGCCATGCGCACCCCCAGCCGGAGTGAGTCGGGCCTGGAGCTGCTCCTGGCGTACTACAACCAGCTCTGCCTCCTGGACGCGCGCTTTGTCACCCCTGCCCGGAGCCTGGGGCTGCTCTTCCACTGGTAGGGCTGGCGGGGTGCCCTGGGGCTGCCCCGGCCTGTGCGCCTTTTCTGCGCCCTCCATGTGTGGTCGCGGGGCCCCATCCCACCAGACCCAACCTCGCAGGTATGACTCTCTCACGGGGGTCCCAGCCCAGCAGCGGGCCCTGGCCTTCGAGAAGGGCAGTGTACTCTTCAACATCGGAGCCCTGCACACCCAGATCGGGGCGCGCCAGGACCGCTCCCGCACCGAGGGCGCCGGCCGTGCGGCGGAGGCATTCCAGAGGGCCGCTGGTGAGGGCCGCCCCCACCCCACAGCCATGGCCAGGGTGCCAGCTGTCCTCTGGGGTCGAGCCGGGGGCGGGCAGGACGGCTTCCGGTGTGTAGGGTGGGGGCAGCCCCCTCGGGCCACAGTGAGCGCCCCCTTCACAGGGGCCTTCCGCCTGCTGAGGGACAAGTTCTCGCAAGCGCCGAGCCCCGACATGAGCCCCGCCTCACTGTCCGCGCTGGAGCAGCTCATGGCGGCCCAGGCCCAGGAGTGCGTCTTCGAGGGCCTCTCGCTGCCGGCCCCTGCGGCGCCCCAGGACTGCTTGGCCCAGCTGCGCCTGGCTCAGGAGGCAGCCCAGGTGCGGGCAGGGCACCCTGTCCCCGGGAGACCTGTGCAGGCATCCTGTAGGGGCTGTGTCTCCCGGATGTCCCCCAGGCCAGGGTGTCTCGTGGTTCCTGGGGGGCTGGTCAGGATCCCAGGTCCCGCGTCCCTGCGGGGGCACCACCAGTCAGAGCAAGACCTGGGGGTGTAGACTCACAGCACGGCTGGCTGGGGCCAGGGGCAGAGGAGGCCAGGCCCCAGGGGAGGCTGCTGGGCGGGGCTCGGCTGGACTCATCCTGGAGTCCCCCAGAGACCCCTCTGTCCTGCCCTGTCACCGGCAGGTGGCAGCCCAGTACGAACAGGTGCACAGGACCATGGCCAGGCCACCAGTCCAAGACTACGTGCCCTTTGCCTGGACCACCCTGGTGCACGTCAAGGCGGAGCACTTCCGTGCCCTGGCCCACTACCACGCAGCCACCGCACTCTGCGATGGCTCCCGTGAGTGCCCCCACCAGAGCCCCGGGGGAGGGGTGGCGGAGGCCTGGTGCGGGAGTCACGGCCCTCTCTGCCCCCAGCGGCCGAGGCAGAGCTCCTGGCACTGGAGCAGGTCTTCGAGGGGCCCCCAGCCCCATCGGAGTCCCCGCGCCCCCTACTGCCCCAGGAGCCTGAGGAGCGCAGGAAGCTCGGTGAGACAGCCCCCTGCTGGGTGGGGCTGGTGGCCCTCCCCACCCGTCCGTCATTCAGAAGGTGCCCCTGCTGGGCACATCCGGTGTCTTAAAGCTGGTGGGAGGAGTAGCCAGCCCCCCTCCTGGACGCCCCAGCCTGGGGGGGGCACCCTGACTGAGCAGGGCCCCCGACCCCGGCAGCTCTGCTGGGCCTGCTCCCAGGGTGAACTCATAAGCCGTCCCTGCCTTCCTCCCGTCACATCTGGTCTGGGAAGGGGGGCTGCGTGTGCCGGCGTGTGACGCGCATGTCCCCGCAGGCAAGGCCCACCTGAAGCGCGCCATCCTGGGGCAGGAGGAGGCGCTGCGGCTGCACGCCCTGTGCCGCGCCCTGCGCAGGGTGGACCTGCTGCAGGCCGTCCTGGGCCAGGCGCTGCGGCGCTCGCTGGCCAAGTACTCGGAGCTGGACCTCGAGGACGACTTCTTCGAGGCCACCGAGGCCCCTGACATCCAGCGTGAGCGGCCAGGCCCCTTGGGACGATCGTGTCCCTGGCATGGGGGCCATGGGCGGATACCCCCTCCACAGCTGTGGTCCAGATGCCAGGACCTCCCATACCCACCGGTTTTGAGCCCAAAGAAGGGGCAGGGTGCTGGTCCCCCCCCCATTGTAGCCCCCTTGTTCTGTGTCCATCTGCACCTGATTCATGCCCCAGGGGGGCTGTGGCCTGGAAGACACATGCCCCCAGCCAGGGACCCCCAGGGCTCCTCCACTAAGTGGGGGGTGGCCAGGTCCTGGATGTCCAAGAGGGGCCAGTGTCACCCACTCTACTGTGGCCGAACCGCCCAGCGGCGTCCCAGGGGCCTGGGGGTCAGGGAGCCTGGGGCTCAGTTCTGCTTCCGTTACCCTTTGCTGTCCAGCCAGGACGCGCCAGAGGCCAGAGGTCCGGGCCCCCAGCTTCTCCCGAGTGAAGGTGACTGACATCTTCCACCGGCTGGTGAGCACCTGTCCGTTGTCAATGCCCCGGGCAAGGTCCCCACACGGGCCCCCGCTCCTCCTTGGGTCCCTGCCCCAGGATGCAGAGGTCAGGGTGAGGGCATCACAGGCCAGGGCTCCTCCCAGAGAGCCGCCCCGCCAGGCCTCTGAGCCGCAATGGCCCCCAGGGGCCCCTCTCTGTGTTCTCAGTCAGGAACCGCTGGCGGCTGGCCGGGCCCGTCCACGTGACCCGAGGGGAGGGCGGCTTCGGCTTCACACTGCGGGGAGACTCACCCGTGCTCATCGCTGCGGTCATTCCCGGGGGCCACGCTGAGGTAGGGCCACACCCGGGCTGACTGGAGGCTGCAGCCAGGGGCAGGGGGTGTCCACCTGGGACTGCAGACCAGACTGTCCCCGTGTCCCTGCAGGCGGCCGGCCTGCGGGAGGGCGACTACATCGTGTCTGTGAACGGGCAGCCCTGCAGGTGGTGGAAGCACACTGAGGTGGTGGCCCAGCTGAGGGCTGTGGGTGCCGAGGGCGTGAGCCTGCAGGTGGCCACCCTGCTGCCTGGTGCCGAGCCGCCCGGCACGGTGAGCCCTGGGGCTGGGAGGGTGTCCCCCCGCCCTTGTCCCTCCGCCCCTGGTCCTCCAGGCCGCAGACATCTACAGAGGCTGGCGTAGCAGCACCCTCCCCAGGGTGGCCCAGGCTGCAGCCGCCTGTGCCACGTCCACCGGCAGCGAGCCCCTGCCCTGGACGAGGGCCCAGCCCAGCCCAGCCCACGCCCCTGTGGGCCCACACCCCTGGAGGCTCTGGGCAGAGGCACTGCAGCCCTGCCCCTCAGCTCTCACCCACCCCAGCGTGGCACTCCTGTGGGGACCCCACTAGGTGGGGCTGCCCTCACTGAATCCCCGACCTCCCCCGACACACCTCCACCTCCTCCGTCACACCCACTAGGCCGGCCACGGGTGGGCCGGGCCAGGGCTGCCGACCGCTGCCTGTCTCCGTCCTGACTGCAGGGGGACCACCGGCCAGCCCTGCGAGGGCTTCTGAGGAGCCAGAAGGAGTGTGGCTGGGAGCCCGCAGTGCCTGCGAGGGCCAGCCCCAGGCCCCTCCTCGGCTGGAGCCGCAAGGCCCAGCGAGGCCCGCCCGGAGGGAGGCTGTGCCCGGCCCCTTGTCCCCGCGCTGCAGCACCCTCACCCTCCAGCAGCCCCGGGAGGCAGTGAGGGCCGGGCTCCCCACACTGCTGTGCTCTGGCGCTGTCTCCAGCCGACTGGCAGCAGGGCCCCCTCGCATCCTCCCCCCCCCCCCCGCAGGACCCTCAGGCCAGTCTGCTGCCGGCCCAGCGCCCATTAAAGACAGTGTCCGATGAGGAGTGTCTGAGCCCAGTGTGGGGGCCGAGTCCTGCACCCGTGTGGGGAGGGTCACCATCCCCCTGGACACTGAGTCCAGGAGCTAGAAGGCTGCCTCTGGGCAGCCCTGTCCCAAGAAGGGCTGCTTCTCAGGGGGGTGGGGGTGTCCAGCTGCTTGTCTTAGAGCCTGAAGCAGCCACCCCCAAGAGTGGGGGCAGGGCGGGGTGGGGGCCGCAGTGGGTCCCTGCAGCCCGGACCCTCCCTCCCCCTCCTGGCCCATGCTGACACCTGCCAGGCACCCAGGCCCCCCCTCCAGCCCTCCCGGAATCCCACAGCCCGGACAGGGTTCGGCTCCCTCCCCCGCCTGGAAACCACCTTCTCACCCCTCACGCAGCAGCCCGGGCAGGGCCCCAGACAAGGCCCACTCTGCAACACCCGTCACTGTCCCCTCCCTGCTTCTGTTCTCCCCGCCCCCTCCCACAGTCCCTCCCAGCCCCTGTCCCACCCTCCCCTGGCTCCGCCCACCCTGCAGCCCATCCTGGGCACCCAGGCTGCTGTCCCACCTTGAACCTGCCCAGAGGCCTTCATCCCCAGCCCCAGGGCCATCACCGAGAGGTGCCTCCAACCGGCCCTGGCCCCTTTGGGCTCCACGCTCACCTTGCCCCCGTGATCCCGGCTGGGCTCCCCAGACTGTGAGGCCTCAGTGTCCCGGAGCCCCACGTAGCAGGTGGCAGGGGAGGGGGGCAGTGACTGCCCCAAGGGCCATCAGTGAACAGACTGCCCCAGGGCCCTCAGAACATGGGCCAAAGGGAGGGGTGGCAGGCCAGGGGGAAGCCCGCTGGCAGGCAGATCAGCAGGTTGGGATTGGGGGTCCGAGATGGTCAGGGGTCACTGTGGCCACCAGGGGGCAGCCGCTGCCCACGCAATTGGCCACGGGAGGCCGGATCTTGGGCAGGGATGGGTTCCAAGTGGGTAGGCGGCTGGAGACCGGCCCCTCCCTCCTGCCTCCCCCCTCCTCCCTCCAGCGATTTCTGTCTCCTGGTCCGCCCCTGACCGCAGCAGCCCGAGGGGCTCGGCTCCTGGGTCCACCACCTCCCTGCTGCGTCAGGCTGTGTCCGGGGCGGAGGGTGGGACGGGCGTGGGGGAGCAGGTGCAGCCAGGGGCACGGGTGTGTTCCCCATGGCCCACCTGCCCCTCCTGGGAGAATCTGCCCCTCTCAGCAGAACCAGCCAAGGTCACCTCAGCACGTATTAATTTGATTAATAAACCCGTGCATCACAGAGGCCATTACCTGCTAATCCGGGATGACAGGCCCTGGCAGGCCCTGTCCAGGAGAAGGCAGCGACTCCCCAGCTGCCGGCAGCCCCTCTGGGCCCGGGAGCACTGAGGCCTGGGGAGAGCTGGGGCTCAGCAGCTGCCTTCAGCCTCTCGCTCGCATGGGAGACGCCCTTCCCAAGGACCGCGGCCCTTCCCACCCCCGACAGCCTGCGGGGCACAGCCTCTGCCTCCCCCAGCCCGGCCCTGCCCGGAGCACCTGGCCTCTCTCCTGGCTGAACCGGCTTCCAGCCCACCCTGCTCCAGGAGAGCTGGGGGTGAGGTCAAGGGCTCTGGGCCTGGCGGGAGCCACAGCTTCACCCCAACTGTCAGTCACAGCCCGCACCCCACCATGCTGCCCCTCCCACACTGGACTAAGGGTGGTGGCCTCAACCTGGCATGGTGGGCGACCCCGGGACAGACCGTCCTCAGCTAGTGGGGGGGCTCGGGGTCTGGGCAGCACCCACCCCGGGTGTGCTGGGGCAGTGCCTGGCCAGCCTGAGCAAGGGGGCTGTGCCCATGAGGTCCTGCCAGGACAAAGGTCCTTCCCGAGTGGCAGCAGATGCCTTGGCCAGGGCAGGCTCATAGGTGTGCACACGCGTGGGTGTGCATGTGTAAGGCTGGGCATGCGCCTGCCCCGCCCACCCACCCTGCTCCGGCGTCAGGGGATCTGGCCTCTTCCCACCTGCCCGTCCCACACCAGAAGCTTCAACCTGCCTCCTGCCGCCGCCTGTGCTCTCTACCCTCCTTGGTTCCAGCGGGCACCTCTCCAGCTTCCCTAGACCTGACCACACCTCATGTCCCGGTTCAGCCCCCATTTTCTGGCCCCGTCACATCACCGTTTGTCACTGGGTCCCAATGAGCCACGGACCACAGGCAGGAACTGCCATCCCCTCATCCACAAACTCCATAAACACCTGAACAGATTCGGCGACCTGGTGGGGTGTCCCACGCGCGTGCCGCCCACGGGGGCGGCGGCAAGACACTGCCTAGCGCCCAGCGCGAGCGCGGTGGAGGGAGCAGGGCTGCGAGTGCGCCTGCCGGGGTCCCGGGACGCGTGCCCGCCCCTCCGTCCTCATCCCTGAGCGCACCCGGGAGGAGGCGGAGGCGCGGCAGCCCACTCAGGGACTCCTCACCTTCCGGAACCCTCCGCCCCGGGCGGGAGGTCGAGGGTGAGAGCGCGCTGTGATCCTTTTCGCTTTGCCGACAGAAAACCGCGGAGAGGGGAAGAGGGAACTCCGTTTCGCTTGGGTCAGCAGTGAGCCTGGCGCAGAGATTAATGTGCGCCGAGGCGCTTGGGCGGAAGGGGGTCCCAGCGGCCTGGGGGCGGGGCCGGGCACGGTGACGGACAAGAGGAGCAGGCACAGGGTCCCTTCCCAGCCTTCTTCTGACCCCGCCCCCTTTCAATTCACTCCCTTCCGCGCTCCCATCCTTCCCAGCTCCTGTCCTGCCAACCTTGGTGTCTGTCCCCCATCCGCTCCCCCACTGCCCAGCCCAGGCCCCTCCACCTCAACAGCCTCAGTCTGCCCTGCCGGCCCCTAGATGTCAGCCCCTGGGCCGGGCCCACAGGAGATGCATTGGGGACCCACGGCCAGTCTGAGAGCGGGTGAGACGCCCCAGACTGCACAGCCACCTGGGGGGATCCGAGGAGGCCGGTGCGTGGCCGGTGGAGGGTGGGAAACACAGCAGCTCCTCAAGAGCCCGGAGAGGCCCTGCAGCGGCAGGCGGAGGCCAGGACCGGGCGGCGAGGGGCGCCCTGCTGGGGCCTGAACCCTGCAGCCCCAGGCAGGAGCTCTGCAGGATTTGCTGCCCCACCAGAGTGGGCTCAGTGGGGCCCCCAAAGACTCAGCCACATGGAGCCAGGATACCTGAGGAATTACGGGTTTGGGGCAGGGTCGTCCTGGGTGTTCCCGAGACCCTGAACCCACTGATAAGTGTCTCTAGAAGAGGCAGGACCGGCCAGGACAGGGGAGTGGAGCTGAGGGGTGCCTGGGGCCCAGGTGCAGGAGGGGTGTCCACGGCTGGGGCCGCCCTGGGGCCGTCTCCAGACCTGGAGAGGGGTTGCCTTGGTTTTAAGGCTCCGGGTTCATTGGTATCTGTGAGAACAGCTGCAGGAAACCAGCCCGCCAACCTCACACAAGTCCGTGTGTCTGGGCCTCCGTTTGCCCTTCTGCAGGACCGTCTGAATCAGACGGGACCTCAGGGGTTGCATCAGAGTACGGGGCTCAGCTCAGGCTGCCAGAGAGACACCCCGTCATTGGGAAGGCTGCCCTGCTCCCTAGATCGGAGGTGCTGGGCTGGGCCACCCGAGTCACAGTAGCCTGAACACCTGCATTTTGGGGCTGTCCAGCTGGAGGCTGACACCCCACCTTTCCCCCTGCCTGTCCCCCCACCCTGACCCAGAGCCTCCCATGGCATCATCCAGGGAGTCACAAGTGTGTCTGGGGCTGGAGGGGGGACAGTCTGGGGACCCGAAGGAAAGGCTGGGAGGAGAACTGGAGGAGGAAAGGCTGGGACAGGCCAGCAGAGCAGGAGGTGCCAGAGCCCAGAGAACATGGTCGGCCTGGCGTCCCCACCGCCAGGGCCAGGCCCGCCCTGCCGAGGGCTGGGGGCTGGAGCTGCAGGCCCGGCGAGTGGGAGGCCTGAGGTCTCTCTGAGTGTGGGGCCCGGGAGGCGCAGGGCCGCTGGTCAGGCAGCCCAGGGCCAGGCTGCCGGGGACCTTCCTGCCCCTTGGGGCCCCTGAGCTGGGGGGCAGAGTCTAGACCAGGGGCCTGGGTAGCCGGCCCTGGAGGTCAGTCCCCTGGGGTCAGGAGGAAGGCCCTGGGAGGCCCCCCACAGGGAGCGGGGTCTCCCTGCCTCAGTTTCTCCCTCATCCCCAGCGGTCTCTGACCTGGAGGCCATGCTGTGTTCTCAGGGGCCCTTGGGACGGGGGTGCCCGTGCACTGCAGCGTCGGCCTGGGGAGGGCTGCCAGCCCCCAGCTCTGCCTGCACCCCCCGCCCCCGCAGAGAGCCAGACGTGCATTACAGCGAGAGTGAGTTATCGAACTGTCAAGGGGAGCATTTTAAGACAGAATTATAGGGGAGAGGAAAAAGATTTTTACCAAATTAATGAAAAATCAATCTGGCTTCAAAAATCCATTAGCCTTCATAATGCGCTGGCTACGGGCGGAGCCGCACGGTCCATAGCTGCTGTTAAATACACCCCCACCCCCACCGTTCATTACCCGACCCCGTTTTTACTTCTGAGACTGACACCTGCCGCCCCACTCCCGCCCCCCTTCCAGCCTCCTGCCCCCAGCCCTGCACTGCCGTCTGGCTGAGTGGGCCACCGGCCCCCCAACACAGGCGGGGTCCCCGGAGGCTGGGTGAGGCCGTGGTGCGGTGGAGCCGCTGCGGACAGGGCGGGGACGTGGGCGCCGGTGGTGTGGTCGTTGGCCGAGGTGGTCACAGGGGCAGCGGCCTGGTGGCGACCGCGTGGCCAGGGGGTCAGTGCTGCTGGTGGCGCTGTGGCTGGCTGTGGCGGTGGGGCAGACTCTGTGCGGGTGCCCGGGGAGGCTGCGGTCGTGACAGCCTGTGGCGCGCCCGTCCCTCCCTTCCACCAAAGCAGCCCGGGGGGTCCGGATGGGGGCCCTGCACCGAGCCCCTCACACAGCCCGTGTGCGGGACTGGTAGGGGGCCAGAGGCAGGGCCGGCCCGAGAGTGGTCCGAGCCGCCCGGGGGACA